TGGTGTATTAATATTGGTAGATAGCTTTAAAAACTTTAGAGATTATACACATAAATATTCGACTTGGATTCATGGTACTTTACAGCACCAGGATTAGCTTGTAAAACAATGCTAAAAATCACTAATATTGAATTGGAATTATTGCATGATTATGACACGATTTTAATGTTGAGGGGGAAAAAAAAAAAAAAAAAAAAAACGACAGGAGGGATAGCTTCCATAATAGGTATGGAAGAGTAAGTAATAAATATATGAAAAATTATGATAAAAGTAAAGCATCTAAGGTATTTAATTTAGATGCCAATAATTTGTATGGATGGGCTATGAGTCAATATCTATTATATAGTGGACTTAAATGCAGCATCAGTGATGACTGGCTTAATAAAATAAATGGTTCAGATATTGGATATGTTTTAGAAAATTGTTTAAAATATCGAAAAGAACTACATGATAAACATTCAGGTGTGCCTTTAGCCCAGATATCAGAACTCCAGACAGCTGTAGACATGCTAAATTACTGAAAACTTTATATGATAAACAACAATATATTGTTCATTATGGAAAAACTTAATACAGTACAAAGTCTGTAATCCGGACTCGTCGGAACTTCGGCGATTCCGGATTAGGGTTTTTTCCAGATTATAGATCATCAATTTAAATCTGGTAAGATGACATGCAGAAATAATACAATTAAAAATATGAAAACGTAATTTATGAAATAAAGAGCAATTATGATCTAAAGGGTATCAAAATTTACAAAAAAAAAAAGCTTAATATTTATTTGTTTACTTTAGTAAACATTTCTATCAATGTAAGTTGTTTAAGTTGCTTCGTTTTTTGTGCTAATACTTTCTCTTTAATTCTATAAACCGACATAAATTCTTGTTCAGTTACAAAGTTCCACTGTTCAAGTCCTGTAACTGCTGTGTCAAGAATACCGACTAACTTGTCAATCGAAATTTTTTCATTTTCAATAATGTTCTCTGTTACTTTCTTCAATATTGGAAGTGCGCATGGGTAAACGCTTTACTGGCTTTTACGTACATACATAGCAGACACACGCATCAAACGCGCATGCACAAGTTTGTGGCTTTGAGGTCCGGATTATAGATCATTCCGGATAATGGACATCCGGATTAGAGACTTTGTGCTGTATTTGAAAGTGCATTTAAAATTAGAAAAGGTTCATAGAGTGTTTGTTGGAATTTAAACAGACTCTTAGTTAGAGAAATATACAGAAATGAGAACTAAACCTAGTAATGATTTTGATAAAGACTTCTATAAACTGATGAATAATTCCGTGTTTGGAAAAACAATGGAAAACATTAGGAACGGATTTGATGCAAGATTATGTTGGAATAATGAAAAAGTTAAAAAATTTATCACTAAGCCAGACTTTAAATGGAGGACTATCTTTGATGAAAACGTTGTTGCTGTTTACATTAATAAAATTTCAGTCTCCTTTAATTAACCAATCTATACTGGAATGAGAATATCAGACCTAAATATGAATGACTATTACCACTTATTACTATTATTACTTACTATTATTAATTATTACTTACTATTATTAATGAACCAATTGGCTAAACCCCACATTCTTTTCACATTTTGAATTTGAACACCCATTGTTGGATCTACAAAACTGTACTCATGATTCACAGTAAAGAGATTATAACCAATTTTTTTCAAGCAAAGCACTCCAACACAGTTCGAGCTTTGTGACATTAGGTGTTGTCTTGCTGGAAGATTTCATTTCCAGCTATGAAGGCAAGGCGCTATGTAAGGCTGTAACTGATTCGAAATTATGTTCTGATAGTCCGCAGCTTTCATGGTCTATCCCAACCAAGGGTCCCTCAGCCACCCACAGAAACATCCCTCAAAGCATAATACCACCACCACCAGCCTGTACATGACCTGCTATAACAAGTGCATGGAGGTAGGAAAAGGAGGAGGGGCCATTCTGCGCTAGAAGTGAAGCACTGCTTTGTAGCTTGGGTCACCAGATGGGGTGTTCTTTGTTTACATTCAGAAGCTCGCTTGACAAGATTCTGATAGTATTTCGACACACGACAGTTCCATAGAAATCGAAAAAGGGACACTCTCGCATGAAAGAAACATTCATAGTGTGATGGATAATAGCAATTTGTATAGTTTACTGACATTTACGCAAAAATCACATCTTGGTTATTTTTCGATAACTAACAACAGCGATTTTGATTATGAATTTGTTTTATAAAATTCTAAGCTGTTGCACTACAAAAATATAGATTTTAAGAAAATTGCTAAAACAGATCTGCCAAAATTTATTTTCTAGAAGATTTGAAAAGTTTGAAACTTGATGGTTAAATGTAAATATAAAATTATGTATGTTAAAATATTTGTAATTAGGCACATAGGTCAGATTAAGTTTTTATTAAATAGAGTAACGCATGCAAGGGCTATCTGCCTAAAGAGAGAGATGCCATCGTGGAGGAATTTTGAAGAAAAACTGACCTTTGAGTGGGTATTAAAAATAATACTTATAATTTTCATTCAAATTATATTCATATATATTTTTTATGTAAAACTTTCAGGTGTATGCTAAATTAGTGTGAATTACTTTACACGAAAAATATAGTGAATGCACAGAAATTAAAGATTTGCACATGCTGGAAATGATAAATAGGAAATATGTATGGGTATTTATGCATGTGCTTGCAAAAAGCATGTATCTGCCTTTGACAAAATACTTAAATATTCATTAAATTATTTATAAATGTATTTGAAATGAAGAATTTATTCACTTATAAACAACTGTGAAAGTACTATGAAGAAATCTAATGATTAAATGTATCTAATTTATAATGATTATAAATGTTGTCTAAATATATAATAACCTTAATATTGAATTGTAAACATAAATTGAAATCCTGTTGACAAATACGTTATAAAACTATTTAAGCAAGAATTGTTCGTATTGGAAAGCAATCTGTTAAAAGGTATTGTAAAGCAAATGCTATGAGATGCGCACTTAAGAACGTAATAAAGAGTTTTGGAATATGTATTGTTGAAATGAAGGGGAAAAAAAAAATCTCATAAGTATAATTAAAAGAATTATTCCCTTTACATTTTATAATAACTCAGTTACAAGTTTTAAATAATACTTTAAAAAAAAAAAAAAAAAAAAAAAAAAAAAAAACTTATTTTATTCCCTTTCAGAAATGTTCAGAGAAAGTCAAATGCTATTTAATACCTATTTAATTATTATTAAACCTACTAGTTGTGCAGTTTCGGAGATACTCTTTCCGAGTCTTCGGGCCATTACAATTTGCCCACTATCAAATTCGTTTAGATCAGCAGCCTTTTCCCTCACTCGTAAAAGTGCAAGAATGATTTCTTGCCTTCTCCAGCAGCAGTTGAATACCATTCCCACTTAATCACATGTCCTAAAGTCATCCAGATGAGTTCATCGAAAAATGTGGGGTTTTTGTGTTTTGGCTCATCAGTGTATAGCGACATGGAAAGGAATTTATCAAGTTTTCTAATTTTTAGAAATAAATTAAAAATTCATTCATAAGTATGGTTATGACATTTCAGAAAACATTACAAAATAAATTTGCTAGCAAATCACTTTTGATTAACAAAGAAAATGAAGTATTTTATATTCTATTATATAAATATTACTCAGTCATTTTTTACATCTTAAATTCCTCCCTGACTTTAATAAAGCTTTGATATATTACTCCTTTCTTCTCTTTTAATTTCAAGTTTTAGAAGAAGTATGCAGATACACTTCTATTATTTAACCCAACTACAGAATATTCTGATTTTTTTTTTATTTTCTAAGCAAAATTCAGAGTAAATTTGCTTATAAGATTGAGATTACTGAATTTTTTTTTTAAACATCTAAGTTACTATGAGAGTACTGGATCATCATCCTTTAATGTTCTTCTATCTCATAAAGATTTGATAACCAGACTACTGGTAAAGTTCCATAACTTTACATGAAAAAATTCGGCAGACATTAAAATTATTGTTTTAGGCTATTATTTCCTTTTTAACTGTGACTTAAATTCAAAACTTCCAAGAACAAATTTTAGATGCAGCTACAACAACAACAACAGAGAAGCTGGCCATTTTTGTGAGCAATTGAAGCTCCTATTGCTGAGATCCTGTATCTTATATGTTCCCTGTTAGGACCCTTGACTAATATTTAGTAAAACTAAACTCAGTGGCGCAACAGCCCAAGTGGGCCACGGCCTGCAGTGCCCTTTTTCTGTTTTCTTGACCTTGGGCCCAAGGTGCTTCAGCATATGCTTCGGACAAGTGGTCAGCTTGTGACAGGACCCCAGATGTTTAGCCCCCAAGTGAACTTGGTATTATTTTATCGACACACTCAAGGGATGAAAGGCTGAGTCAACCTTATCCAGCCTGGGGATCGAACCCCAGATCTATGATGCAGCTGCGCGACATGCTAGCCATTTGATATTTAGTAATATAAGTTTATTTGCAACTTTTCAGAATATATTTTTTATAATTTATTTTCAGGCATGACACCAGCATCTTTGGCACTCCATGCAATAAATGTAGTTTGTATTCATATAAATTAGACATATTAAGAACTAAAAATAAAATATATCTTTATTTACACATCACTTGTAAGAAAAACTTACAGAAACTCCCCAAAAATTGGCCCCCTAGGCCATTGCTTGTGTTCCCTATATCAAGAGTCACACCTGTTTATGCTTAAAATTTTTTTTAGTCATACCTGTTCATGCTTAATTTTTTTTAACTCACTGTTATACTTAAGAACAGCAACATATCTGAAAAACACATTTCACAATGAGATGTATGAAGGAAAAGTGTTTTTAAAAATGTGGTTCATTTCTTCAGATCACAGCACAAATGATGAAATTTTGGTTACTCCCACTGACCTTGCTTAAATAATATTTATATGCTTCATCTTTAGCTTTTTAAAATGACTATTTTGCACAGAGGGGGGGAAAAAATTTACTTACTTTATGTATGATTCCAGAAACACTAACCCAGGTTGCTTCTTCAATATAATCATCTCCATCAACCATACCTTGGTAACCTTCTTTAATGAAAAATACTTTGGCACCCATATACATGCCCATGCGCACCACTGCACGGACAGCTGCATTCATACCTTCAATAAAATTTGGTTCATAATTCATAATGTGCTAAATATCAAAATATACTGTATTGGCCCAAATACAACGATACAGCTCCGTACGATTTTGAAAATAAGATAAATAAAATTGGATTTCGAAAACCATACTCATCTAATCAGCGGACCTTAAACATTTAAAAAATATATTAAAATACTTTAACTTTTACACTGAAAAAATATTTCTTTAGCTTTAATGTACAGTATGATATTCAGAGCATTTAATTAACTTTCTTGTTGAACTTGAACACATCAAACATGCATATGAAAGAATGTCTTATATGAAAGCCCCCAACCCATATTTTTTTTTTCTTTTCTTTTTTGTAATGCCTCTTCACAACCTGAAGGGCCATCGTACATTTGGACCAGTACAGTACTTACATTTTACAACAGCTTCAGAAAACTATTAAAACTATACACATATTTTTACAACTACTCAAATCACAAATTGCAAAATAAAAGCAATATTGTTTTTGTTCAGAATGTATCTCACAAATTTGACAGTAATATCAGATTAAGTCCATGAATATTATGCCCAAGAGAGTAGGCTTTGCATTTGTCAATGGCTTACCCTTTGGGCACTTTATATGTGATAGTGTGAACACACCCAGCATCATCCCAGTTTCAAAGAAAATCCCATTACGAAAGGGTCTGAGAGTCTCCTTGCCATTTTCTCCTTAAATCAATCTCTTGAGAAGACTTGTGTCTCAACAGTGTTTATGTACCCCATGTCACAAAGACACTGTTACACTTCCAAATATCAATGCCTTCTCCAGGATTCGAACGTCTGCCCAAGGCTATGACAAACAGCTTCACTACCATCATGCCAATAGGAGGGCTACAAAATAAAAGTAACTACCTATATGGAATTAAAAATTAAAATATAGTGACTCTTGACACAATGAATATATACAGGGCCAGAAAAAAGTTCCACATAGCAAACTCTGCTCAATTTGCACACATTATTCACACATTAGTCACATTATTGACACATTAAACGTGAATTAAAATTGCTTCATTTCATTTTCTGCTTAGGTAGGGCTGATAACACACGATGCGTCTAAACATAAACAATAATGACTAGCAAATCGGCAGGTTAGAAAACACGTTTCTTAACATTATATTACCAACAAAAAACTGCTATCTCTATCTGGAGAGGAACATGAGGAAACCTGGAAGGAAGCTTCATCTGGTGAAGTAGAATAGAACACAAATGGTCTATGTCTTAACTAGGTCTAGAATCCAGGTAGCGAGAAAAGATCTAGGCCATAAACAAGCAACAGCATAGCTCGAGCTTCTGCTGCCTGATGCAGTCCTTGATTTTGCTGCCTCTCTTGATATAGAAACAAATGTCAAAATGACTAAACAAAATTAATTTAAACTGTATGTTTATTTTTGAAGTAAAATTTTAATTCCGACATTTTAAAATTATAATATTACATTGCTTGTTTTTCTGTCCTCAAAATCCTCAATGACAACCTTCTTCTTGATTGCTCCAGTTGTAATTTAGAGAGTAGAGAAAGATTCTTGAATGCAAAATAAGCATTTATAGTTTTAAAATACTTTCTAAATTATTTCTATTTAGAAACTCTTTCCATAAATACCAATGCTTACAGCAAGTGTGAGAAAAGTTTGCAATATGATAACAACACTTGGAACTTTGTTTTGGAGACTGTATTTTAGAATTAATTGCAAAAATTCAAAGGGCCACCTTCCCATGTTCCTGTTTTGTTTTCCCCAGCAATAATGGAAAAAACTCTTAAAATACTTCTCTCTTGATAAGGAACTTTTTATTATAAAAGTTACCATGATTATAATTTAGTTGATATTCATAATTTCCATTCAAAAGTTTCATAAAAATAAAAAAAGTATAATAAGCATACCTGAAGTAAAAGCTATTTTTCCCCGTCAATTTGATTCAGGATGCAGTTCAGAATCTCACCATTCTTTACATGCTTAGAAAATCGAAGTGAAAAATGTGCCCCCTGTGGTAGACCGCCTGCCTCCGGCTACACCACTGCAAACAAGCAACAATATCCTAATCAAGCTGAGATGAACAGAGTGACTGATTATTTCAATGATATAACCATGCACTACTGTAAGTCCATCCAGAAGAAAAAGAAAAAATTAACTACTTTAGACACCTTCTTTGAAACTAGGATCTCCCAAATTACCAAAGGCCATAGCGAGATCAAAGAATGTTCGGTCTTCGACCTCTGGATTGTGCTCAGAAACATTAAAATGATGCAGCAATCTAATGGTTCATACTTAGTTCCAGAATGACAATACATGGTACAAGTGAGGAAAGAACAGATAAAGGAACATGGTTGCTCACCATCTTCCCAGTTTCAATCAATGGCAATGTTGCAGCACAGGTCTCATTGAGCATCTAAAGGATCCATGCATTAACATCATTAGGCTCCTTATGGGCCATCATTCAGGACATACAGGATCAAGCTTCCTTGGATATGCATTAGCATCAGCTGGAATCCATGCCACAGCACGTTCCCTTAACTTCTACCAATTTCAGTCCTGTCACACATCAGTGGGATACCACACATCAATGTGATATTGCACAAAAAGCTCGTCAAGTCACAGATCAATATCCAAAAGCTTATCGTGAACTGCCAAACCAGACACATAGAATCAGATCTACTTGGACACATGACAACAACTGGCAAAATTTATGCAAAGGTGTGCTCAGGCAACTTTCACATCAAATGTGGACTGAGAAAGTACTAAACAGGTGTTTGCAACTCAGAGAACACTAGACTCGTTTGATTTAGTAGCTGAGAAATTTGGTAAGAGATTCAATGATATGTTTAGTACCATAAGTGAATTATGAGATTAAATAGGTACAAAATTTGTTTAATCTTTGTAATCATAAAATCTTCACAAGAAAAGGATGAACCTACTGCTTTCAATGGGATGCGTTCATTCCACAAGTAAATGTGTGATAAGTCAGAAAACTATGATTTAAAATTTTGAATTTTACGTCATAATGTTTCATGTTATGCTAGGAATATTCAGCTATATTTAGGGAAAAATTTACAACAGGCACCAAGAAAAGTAACTATCCGAGAATTAGAAGCATATTTGGTCAAATGCTCCCGAAATGGAATACCTCAGTGATTGGACTAATACCCAAAACATAAAATACCTCTAGAATTTTTAGATATAACATAGATAAAGAAAATAAATAAAATAAGTTCTGCTTTTAACTTCACTAAAATTACCACACCCATAGCCTACATTCCCCCAAACAAGAGTATTGTTTTCTGAAGTATTACACAATAAGGCTACACCTCAGATAAAATGCTTGAAAGAAAACAATGTTATGAAGCAGAAGCCTTACATACTGTTTTCCCATATACAGAATTTTTTTTTCCCCTGTAAAAATCCTTATGAGGCCTTTATTTTTGTAACCACTAGCTGCAGATATAAACTTCCAGTCCAAGCCATTTAAAGATTTAAAAAAAAAAAAAAAATTATAAAAGTACGAAAAGTTTCATACAGCTTTCCTCTAGTCCCTATAATTATATTTAGCAGATATTTATATGCCTCATTTAAAAAAAACACTTATATCAAACTTATGTTAACTTAGTCAAAGTTCTTTTGATGCATCGTACATAAAGAAAGGATATTACCACTAATAAATCAGAAAAGAATATCACTGAATAATATTAAACGGAAAATTATTCTAATTTATTTTTTAACCAATGCAGTTAGATAAGCCAAAAATCCCAAATTTTTAAATTAAATATCTTAATTAGTTTTTGTCCTTACAGTACGTTATTTTTCATAATGAATATACACTTTTGTTAAACATAACTAAATGAACTATAGAAGGGTATAAAAATCTGAGTGATGTTACAGTAGCTATGTTGAAACAAAATTTTATTACAACCATGAGATTTTGTTTTGATGTACATCATAATGTACTGATAAGAAAGTCAGAAGAAAACTTTATAGCAGAAATACATTACAGAATTTGAAAATCAAGAATAATGACTTGGTTCAAGAGATATTCCTACATTACAGGAAATTTTGTGGCTCGTCTAGCGGATAAATCAATAAGTTCTTTATGTGTATGGAAAGATAATCTTCAAAAAAATGATCAGCAATGAGAAAACAAATGCTATTATTCCTTTTTTAACTACAGATTAAATAAAAAAAACAAATGTCATCAGTTTTCATTTTGAGCATTTTTTTTTTTTTTTTCCTTTCAATTATTTACACGGGTCTTTTCTTACCTATTTTTTTCATAGACTTGAGAGTTTCAGAAGGGGAATCTCAAATCTCCAGAAATGAATTACACAATGAAAAATTCTCAAACCATCAGAAAGGAAACAAGTACAAAAATTTTACAAAGTACAATCACTACTCTCAACATAAGATTCACCATGAGAACTCAAAATTTTTAATAAGCAAAATTAAATTTAGGCTTTTAAAAAAAGAGGGGGAGGATTTCTTTTGCTTTAAAAAAGACAGATCTATGTTAATTGCTTGTTTTGTATTTTTTAAGGGGGGCTTAACTTTATATTTTATGCAAAGTGCTAATTTTATCCTCTGGCTACTATATATAGTAGGTACCCTCCTGAGGATTGGCTGCATGTGCACACTGATGGTTCGGCAGACGGCGCTATAACAAATGCCGGTGCTGGAGCTTATTCAAATACTTTCGGTATTAGGTATCCTGTTGGAAAATACTGTGACAATTTTGATGGAGAGATAGCCGCAATATAATTTGCAACTGATAAATTGAAAGACATTCCTGATCCCAATATTGTATTTCTCATTGATTTTCAAGCTGCTATACTGTCACTTGTGAATTCAAAATACGATGAAAATGCACATATCCCTACTTGTAGAGCAAGGCTTTTTGAACTTAGGAATTCTAGAAAAAACATCGCTCTCCAATGGATTCCGAGCCACTGTGTCATTTTTGGTAATGACCAGGCTGATAGACTTGCTATAGCTGGTTCTCTAATGACTCAGCCTTATTCTCCTCTGCCTTTGCGTAACATCAACCTTTTCACTACCTTTTAAAGATAGAATTTTGACAAATAATAATAAAAAAAAAAAAAAAAAGAATGGTAGAGAGTCATTGCTGGGAAGTGCATGATAGAGTAAAAGATTTTGCCTATGATTAAAAAACATTAGATTCTGAATATTGTAGCAGATTTAGCATTATCCAGGGTGTACAATGGGGAGGCCTGCTATTCGACCCCCCCCCCCAAAAAAAGCTCTTCTTGGTAATATGATGATTACATGCATATAAGTGAAAAAAATGCAACTTGGGTATGTGATATTTACATTATTTAGATTTCATATTTACACTTTCGTCCATTTTTTCTTCATGGGGGTACATTTCGAAGAAAGTGACACCACCTTTAAAACAGCCCAACCCAACATTTCATGTTTTGCACATGTACCAGGATCCATATCAGATTCACTATCTAAAGGCAATTCATGTAGCACATTCAGTGCTTCAGAAATGGTCAGCTCTCTCTCTGATCCATTTTCAAAATAGGTACTTATGGAAAATCCCATCGACTACAAGAGATGGCGACAATTGCACCAAAAACCCCCCCCCCCCAAAAAAATTCATTTACTAAATACAAGAAAAAATGTTCTATTCTTATTTTCTTTAAAATTTATTATATTATCATTTATTTATATTTAATTTTCATTAAAAATTTCCATTATTTTTCAATAAGGAGATATACTGTAAAAGCAATTATTTTCGCTAGGTTTTCCCTTGAACCATGTTCTCTTTCAAAATGACACTCGCTTCACACAAGCCTTAACGTTGTCATAGCAATGCTCCTCAGGTTTTAAATAAGGCTCCATTTTGTGGCCATTAACACATTTTTTTTTAGGCCGGTTAGATTCCATAACTTTGGAAATATTCAGCAGCATGCTCTTCTGTAGTAGGCAGGTCCCAAATTTTAATAATTTTTTTCGAGAATGCACGATAGAGGAAAAAAGGGAGTCTTTACTCAAAAATAATAACTAACACGTGCAATCAAGGTTACACCAAGCCTGCGTGTTTGAAGTAGACTTTTCCATTTTTGGCGAAAAATCACATAGTTTTCCGTCTTTTCTTTAATACGTAAAAATGGTTGAAAGGATTTTCTGTAAGTACCACAAAATAATTCATAATCAGGAAGAAATGAACTAATATTATATCTACAATTAGAAAATTTAAATTATAAAATAAAATTAAATGTCTGTCAAAAACTATTAAAACATAGCGCTAACACAACTTCCTTAAATGAAAGTGAAAAAGAAAAAGAAACTGCTCAAGTAAAAAACCAAACAGCTAACTAATAAAATTACCCCTGACCTTCAGAAAATCCCCCCAACAATTTCATAGTTGATAACCAAACCTCCTCCCCAAAAAAAAAAAAAAAAAAAAAAAAAAAAAAAAAAAAAAAAAAAAAAAAAAAAGGAAAACTGGAAATAAACACAGATGTGGACCCACCTTTCTATTGTGAATGAGCCCACCAGTGAGCTGCAGTGAAACAAAAATACAATTGGTTGCTCTTGTCCCAGTCTCTCAGTGATCCTACTCTGGACACATCTGATGTTACCATTTGATTTTAGGCAAGATTTCAAGGTAAAAATTTAAAACTGATATAGATAAGGAGATTAAGCCAAGAAAATAACATAGAAATATTTTTTCAAACAATTTCTTTTATATATTTAAAAAAAATTGGGAGATTTCTTTGAAAAATGTGGGTCTTTAAAAACTAAACGTGACTAAAATAAGCACCATCTAGTGTAAATAAAGAAGGTTCAGAGTAACCTATACTAACCTATAAACCTTTTTCATTCAATTTTTCTGTGTATACAGAAGATGGCTAAAAGGATTGTAAACAATAAAATCAAGAATAATAGAATGTTCTTATATAGAGATGCAGCTGTGGGTAAGAGGTAGAACATCCTGCTTAACAAAAAGAATAAAATTCCCAATTCTTTGCATTGATCTGTTGGAGTGCTTGTTTTCGAATGCTAACTGGACATGATTATTTACAAAGGCATTTATGTCGCATTGGAATCAAGAATTCAGCTTGTTGCCCTTTAATGTCATCAGGGTGACATGGGTGGCGACCATCTCAACTGCCCATTGTTTTAAAGTTTCTTAATGACAATTCTTTTAATACTAGTTTTAATTCTCATTTTTTATTCTTCTTCATTTTACAGGGCTGCTTGTCGCTTAATGGCAGAAGTGCCACGGTTGGGCTTAGGATTAAAAAAAAAAAAAAAAATATGCTGACATCCATTTTTTCCATGCCAAGTTTGTGCAATTCTAGGAATTTTTTTTAAGTGAAAATAAGTTGATGTGTACCTGGATACCAAGTTTGTGCAATTCTTTGACTCGTTATTTTCACGTTGGCGATTTTGAGAAATGCGCAAAGCAGTGGGTGATTATTCACTTTCCTAGTTTGTCGCCAAGGCTGTGGGCTCTCCCTAGGATTTTACCCAAAATTAAGTATTTCCAAAAACCTTTCTTCAAAAACTGAGATAAACTGACTTCTGACATAAAAAGCAATGATCATGTGTATAAGAAATAATATTTATACACCCACTCCCTTTTTCACATAAAAACTTTAAAAAAAAACTAAGCATAGAGGATTATAATATTAAATAGCGTGCCAATTACTATATAACGCTATAAAATAAAGGCTTTACCATTTACCATGCGAGAGCCATTTTTTAAATTTAATTAAAGAGAAACACGCCAATATGAAATTTTAATCACATTAAAAAAAAAGAGCAGCCTTAGACTGGTATAGATTTATATAAAGTTCTGTCAATTTTAAGGGTGGTCAGACACCTGTCCAGGTTAGCCAATATTTAAGTGTACCCCTTGCATTATCGGCAAGTTGTTGTTTTATTTATAATAGTAGCTGAATTGTTGTTGTTTTATTTATAATTGTTGTTTTATTTATAATAGTAGTAGTAGTAGCTGAATATTATGGAAACCCTATTATGAAAGTGATTGGTTGAGTGACTGTGGTGAATTTGACTGATGGGAAAATATTTCTTAGCTGTCAATTAGGAAGTATGTCACACATTGTACGCTGTGCATCGTAAAATGGCTGCCGGTCGTCAAGTGGGTGTTTGGTGATATAGAATAAGAAAGAGGAAAGTGTTTTCTTTTGAAGTGGTTAAGGACAGAAGAAAAGAAACTTTGTTTGATGTAATTCAACGGAATTATAAGTGTCCTGTTTGTAAGAATGAAATATGTATGGTTGAATGTAAAGATTGTTTAGATGGCTTTGAATGGGTTTGTTGCAAGAAAGGTTCAAATGCTCAACATATAAAGCATTCCATTAGAAAAGGAACATGGTGTGAGGAAAGTTTTTGGATGGCATTAAGAAATTTTGCATGCTACCGACTGAAGACACGGAAATTTCTAAATAAGGTAAGTGGATGATTCCTTTGTGTAGTGCTTAAATGCTATAAGATGAATTTTCTTTTTTTCTTTTTTGGCTCTAGTGTAGAATTCTCTGATTATTTTTTAAGTGAAAATAGGTTGATGTGTACATGGATACCGAGTTTGCGCAATTCTTTGACTTTGTGTAGTGGCAATTTTAGGCACAAAAATCGCCGCTACGCAAAGCCAAAATAACAAGTAAAAGAATTGCACATATTCATCCACGAGTCCATGCCAAAAATCGACAATTTTCACCAAGGGGTAAACCATAAATATATTTTTACCCCAGTCCCTCTTCAAGTACAAAAATTTTTTCTTCCTATAAAAAAAAAAAAAAAAAAAAAAAAAAAAATCGCTCGGAAGAATTTTTCTGAAGAAGAGAGACCTATGTGTGGTCATGAAATCAACAGTTTTATTCACAGTCCATCTTCATTTTTCAGGGTAACTATTTGCCAAGAAATCAAATTATTTCAGCATTGAAATTTTTCAGAAATTAATCAATAAAATATTAGTAGCACAATTTAGCTGCTGTTGAGACATTTAGAACTCTATTTCGAAAAGTCCACTCAGGAGTTACTATCAATTGGAAAGTATGCAAATAAACACAAAGTGTTGTTAACAACAACCTGCTTCTTACCTTGTGAATCTCCTCCACTTGTGAATACTCCGATGGCACGACTCTTTTTATTATCACTGAAGGAACCTCTCTGGACAGTCTTTCCTTCTCTACTTTGGGGAAAAGGCTTGATTTTATTCTCATCATTATCAGGGGACAACATTGCTCCAGTGTCTGCTCTTGAGTAGCGATCGGTCATTTTCGGTTTCTTTTAGTGAGTTCCTTATATCGAATGAAAAATAATTTATAATATTATACTTACATTTTACGTCAAAATGTATGGAACTCTACACAGTAAAAAATGGATAAATATTAAAAATACAAACTAGAAATAAACATTCAGTAGACAAGCGGAACGAATATAAACACAAGAAATAGAAAGAGCAGACAACTTGTCCTTCACGACCTTTCAAGATCTGCGCGGTTTTCAGTTATCGCGTAACTACCGATTTAGCAGTAGCTGGTAGCGCTCAAGGAGGTTTTGGTAGCGCTCTGTCATTGACAAGAGCATTTCTTGCTCGGCTGATCATACAGAAGGGTATATTTTTTGTCATCTTCTAGACGTCCCGTAGTTCTGATATAAATGATAACATTATTACTTTTTTAATAAATGCTACAGATATGCTTGCTTAATAGGAAATCATAAATCAATCATAATTGTTCGTAACCTGTAATCATACGGGCGTTCACTATGTTTAAAGCCTGACACAGTAGTATAAGATAAATGTCTAAAATTTTCTTATTTCTTACATTATTTTACATGACTTCAACGCATTTAGCAACTTTCGATTGGTTAAGCATCAGCAGAAAAAAACGTTTTGTCTCAGCCTCTAAACTATTACTGAACGGTATCCTTCAAAGCATCGTTGATACTGCTACCGTGAACTACATGATGTACCAGTTCTTGAAATAAAAAGAAGTCATTTTGGAGCCAAGTCTAGTGAATACGATGGAAAGTTGCTCGAGGTAGAGTGACCGTCCAGAACGATGAATGTAGGGGATCATTGCACCAAACAATCAAGACAGTTTTCAGACAACCAAAATAAAATTTGCAAAACATTTTATCACGCTTTCGTTATTTTTGGATTTTAGGCAGGAACGTTGCAAATATTTTCGCCCAAGGATGCTTGATACAGTAAGGCTAGGCTCTCTACCTGTACCTATGCTGGGTATGTCTGTCCCGTATTGTTGAACACATATCTGAAAGTCTGCAAGAAAAGAAATTTACCATGGAACTCTTTTGATACAGCCAGAATTTTCAACGGGGTCTGGATGAGCGGCCTCGTACACAAATTAATCATCCGAGGATTCCCAGGCAACATCACAAACATCATCAAGTCTTCCCTGATAGGTAAAAATTTTGTTCTTCGCATCTCTATTGCATACTCTTTCCGCCGTGCTTTTTTTAACCGGTGTAGCCCAGGAGTCACTACTCACAGCTACATTTTTCCATTTGTATGTGAACGACATTCCACTAACAACACACACTATTCTAGCCTGAACACGCGCGAGCCTATCACAAAATAATTTTTTTCGTCTAGAATTACGAGCATTTCAGAAGCACATTTAGTCACTGAGAAGTAGCTAATTAGTTGGAAAATTGAAATCGATGTGTAGAAGTCTACGGGAATTATCTTCCAAAGAAAAAGGAAATTCAGAGGAAATATTGATATGTATGGAACCAGTTTGCCTGTGCGAGTCATTTATTTAGGAGTAATCCTCCATCAAAATTTCTCATGTTTCCCACCCATACATACTGTACGTAAAGGTCGACACTACCCCCTCAATTTCCCGGAACAGTGTTATATCTATATTAAATTAGTACATTACACTATATAAATAAAACAATAAAAGCATATTGCATCCCGTCCTTAGTTATGCCTGCTCTATCTGGGCCTACTCATGTAAAATAAACAGGAAGAAACTTTAGACTGTGCATAATTGCATTCTTCTACGAATCACAAGCTGCCCATGGTTTGTCAGGAATAACGTAGAACATGAGGAAATGAGTATTGCCCGATTGCGTGACTATTACAACCACCTGGAACATAATTTTCGCATGAACTTGTACATCCCTTTGTGCTAATTATAATTATAATTCCTCGACAGCGACCAGTGGCTATCCTAACTGATAACTTATTTCTTACTTTTTGGTACTTCTGAATACTTGTGTGATTGGTTTATGTAAACTGTTTTGTCAAACAAATGTATAGTACAAAATAGATATGATTTAATATCACAGCATAGTAAGACATCTATAAAAATAAAGTGGGTAAAAGCGCATGTAGAACAAGCCCAAAATGAAAGCGCAGATGCGCTTGCAAAGGATGCAGCTCAAGATCCTTCTCTACCATCAATCAATGTCCCATTCCCAAAATCGTATGCGAAACATAGACTAAGAAAAATTACATTAAAGAAAGGACAAGCTGAATGGGAAAATACAGAAGTAGGTAAAAGACTTTATAACTTCTATAAAAGATCCGCATATGATCCAATCTCATATAACTTTTTATCAACATCTTTTAATCCCGACATGGTCCTTTCCCCACGTACTACTCTGCACGAAATCTGAGCGACTCAGACAAGTGCGTATGTAAGAAAAGGGAGATACAAAGCACTTTATTTTCGAGTGTCAGCTCACAAAAGAGCTACACTGCAAAGAAAGGACATAAGTTACGCCTGAGTATATTAAATGCATACTAACGATCCCTCAATTACAACAAAAGATTTCCTCTATTATGAGAAATCTTTTCTCATATAAAAGGGAAGACATATGTCAAGACGCTATCAGGTCTGTTTAAATACCTCATATTCCACAGTTTACAAAAATAATGCTAGTTCAGAAATGGTACAAATGCCTGAAGTATGCTAAATATTGCTGGCTTCTGATGCGGGCCAACCGAACGCCCAGCAGTTACACTAGTGTGGTGGAGCAATACTTGTAAAAGTCACTGACGACGTTCTGGTTCTCCGTCCACTTTTCTCTGTCTCTGTCTACATGTTGTCTCACTTACATATACGCAGTGGTTAATCGCACCGACGGTGCGAATAGCTGAGAGGCTATTCAGACCACCTACGTTCGCGCATGCGCCCAATCAGCCCAGGTACCAGCACTTTACTCCGATTTCCGTAAGGCAGGCGGTAGCGAGAGCGAAGGTTGTTAACCCTAACTCAGCAATAGAAAGGGTTGTTAATAGTTCACCAGTAAGAAAATAATTTGGAAGTAATAATTATCACATACAAAGACGCGGTCAATCTATATACATGATAATGTTCAGGAAATGATTAGATAAAATAGGGATTTAGTGATGGTTCTAATTGTAATCGAGGACGTGTAATTAGTTAAAAAAATCTTTAATGTATTGACAAAAAGGCTACAGAAATTACTTAAATTCTTTTATTTAACAGAGGAATTTTTATGCAAACTTAGACCATAGTCTTATAGCATAAGACTGTCATAATTTATTATTCAATAAGAAAAATTACTGAAAATTATAATATTCTCATATATTCATCACTTTTTCAGTATTCACACATATTTATAGGTTTAAATTCCATATTTCAAAATCAAAGTTATTTATGAAATAAAACCTTATAAAATCTGTCAAATCATTTGTGTGTGTAAATTTTTAAATCTAAATCTCTTACATTAAATTATTTCTGTCTTTTAAATTACATCCCTTTATTTATTTCAATTTAATTTATTAATGTGTTTGTACTAATATTTCAAAGTTCTTTGAAATACGTTTTGTGTTCTGAAAATGCCAAGTATTTTCATTAAAAAAAATAAACAGGCATACAAAATTGTTAATAACCAGTATTATATGATTAAATGTTAATTTAATAGTTGATTTAATCGCTTTTAATTTATTTCATGTCTAAATTTTCTACACAGAAATCCTCTGTCTAATTTTTATTATCTTTTCTCAGACGAAAATTTTCAAAGAGGAATAAATTAAGGATTCTGCAAAACACATCTTTAAAGCTAAATGTATTCTAAGAAGTACAAAAAATGTAAACAAGATTTTATCCCCCCCCCGAAATCAGTCATTTAAACTATTCCAACTGCTCAGGAGAACGATAAACATTGCGAACATAAAATTCTGCCCTTTTTTATATATATTTTAATAAAAGGAAATGTGTTCGTTCTTTTTATATACGTAGCGTATTCGGAAACTAAGTACCGTGTCATTCTAGCGCCGTCGCAGCGCTGTGGTAGGCGTCCCGCGCATGTGCACTAGTCTTTCTTGTTCACTGACTTTCAATTTTCGCCATTTTGGTTGCTCTATGTTGTGTTTTGAGCTTGCTGTGCACATTCAAAATGTTTAAGACAATTAGTTCTCCCGCTGACTTTGAGATTCGTGCCGTGATTAAATTTTTGAACGCGAGGAATGTTAAACCGGCCGAAATTTATCGTCAAGTGACAGAAGTTTACGGTGAATACGCGATAAGTGATGGAATGGTGAGAAAGTGGGTAAGAATGTTTAATGCAGGTCGAACAAATGTCCATGCCGAGGCTCGGAGGGGTCGGCCTTCTGTTGTCACCGATGATTTGGTAAGGAAAGTTGATGAAGCAATTCATGAGAACAGACGCTTCACAATGACAACTCTTTCAGAGGCATTTCCACAAATTTCACGTACTGTTTTGTTCGAAATTGTGTCTGACCGTTTGCAAACTGTGTTCCCGATGGGTTCCAAAAATGCTCACTGATGTTCACAAAACAAAGCGACTTGGTAGTGCCCTGACCTTCTCAACGCGGTACAGTGATGAGGGAGAAACTTTTTAAACCAAATTGTGACAGGTGATGAAACTTGGGTGTGTCATTTCCCACCAGAATCGAAACAACAATCGATGGAGTGGAGACACACTCATTCTCCGAAAAAAAAAGTTCAAAGTGTAACAATGTCATCACAAAAAATCACGTGCACTGTCTTCTGGGATAGGAAAGGCGTTTTGCTTACTGAATTTCTTCCCAGAGGTGAAACCATTAATGCGGCACGATATTGTGAGACTTTAACAAAACTAAGGCGTGCCATTCAAAACAAACAAAGAGGAATGCTCAGTAAAGGAATTATGTTGCTCCATGACAACGCTCGGCCCCATACTGCTGGTGTCACTCAATCGTTAATTCGACAGTTTCATTGGGAGCAGTTCGATCACCAGCCGTACAGCCCGGACTTGGCGCCGTCCGACTATCACTTGTTCCTGCACATGAAGCGCGAACTTGGTGGCAAGCGCTTTGGATCTGACGATGACACGAAAAATGCTGTGGAGTCGTGGTTATCGAAACTGGCGGGAAGTTTCTTTGACGATGGTATACAAAAACTGGTCACCCGCTATGACAAGTGTTTGATCATTGGGGAAGCGAAGCTATGTTGAAAAATAGTTTAAGACATGTATTTTCATGTAAAAATAAAATT